AAAAAAAAAAAAGATTGAATTTTTTTTGGCATAAAATTAAAAATTGTAAAATTGAGTGTAAATTGAGAATAGTGGTTGATATTGGAATGATGTCTGTCTGTGGTACGGCGACAACACACGTGCATTGATACTATGACGGCAATGTTTAAAATTTTGTCAATGCCAAAATAAAAGCTTTCAAGTTTTGTTTTGTTTTTTTTTTTTATTTCTTTATTTTCATCAGTCTTTTTTTGTTTTTTTTTTTTTTCCTTTAAAACTTTATACTACAGTGTTGTTCTGCAAATTGTACACCTCAAAAACTTTATGTTGTATTTTGAAGTGTATTTCATTGTCTTTGACAACGTCAAACAATAACAACACACACACACACAGTGTGTGTGTGTGTTATCAATAAATTTTTATGAGACGTTCAACAGCAACAACAACAAATTGTTGTTGCGATGTCAATGAAAAATTGTCGATGGACGTTGCTTGATTTTCATTTGTGCAAAAAAATTATGATACCATTTATAGCTATATGAAAAAAAAAAAAAAAAAAGCAGAAGAAGAAGAAGAAGAAGAAGGGAGAGCTGATAAAAACTATTTATTTGTCGTTGATGCCACTACAAAACATAAAAGATCGTTTGTATTGTAGTAGTGGACCTGTTACATTAGACCTTTTAAATCAGTCTTTATTATGGTCATTAAAACATTAGAATAAGCTAAGCAAAAAAAAAAAACAGCTTTATTAGCCTAAGCATACTGTTATCTAACGGAAATATACCACTAAAAAAAAAAAAAGAAAAAAGAGTCAAAACTTGAAAAGGTATTTATAATTATGTCAAATTTTTCAATGAAAAACTTTGAACTTTTTTAAAGGTATACGGTAAATGTGTCGTTCAACTAACAATCATAAAATATGGCTATAATATTCAAAAAAAAAAAAAAGAAAGATACCCAGAATCACTATTTATTGAAGCCAATACCAATATTTCATCATCAATGACGAAAAAAAAAAAAAAGAATTAGTGACAAACTGAGGACTGCAAAAAAAAAAAAAAAACTATTATTGAGAAGATTTATAATCAAAACCAAGAAATTTGCTCTTTTTTTTTTGTTTGGTTGTGATATGATTTTTGAAACCAAAACTTAAAATAGTTTTTCATGTATCAGCTGCAAGAATCAAGTTTAAGATCACACTACCGTACCACCACTGTCTTGTCTTAAACTTTTTTGTTCTAAACAAACAGATACATCGACATTGACACACAAACATCAATTATAAAGCTATAAAAATTGTGACACAAAGTAGAATTTAAAAAAAAAAAAAAAATCAG